TTTGGCCCAAAAGTTTTTTACTTTGTTAGAAATTCGTTAGAAATTCTTATGCATTCTCGTTCCTCCATTTCTATCGCAATGAGTTTTGGATTTATTTCTTTTGTTTATTGTTCAGGTTTATGAACCATAGGTCAAGGTGCTTTCTATTATCGATTTATATTAGGTACTTTGTTATACATTGTAATATGATTGTCCCATGACATTGAGTTTAACTGATTATTTTTCTTTCAAATCAATCAATATATGTATGTTCTCTGAACCACGATACACACATTAACGGTATGTTCCTGCGCATGCAGCTGACTGATGATGACATCACGTGAGACATATAATTATTAGCATTAAATGGAAGGTAGTGTTTAAAATTCGATATTTTGCCAATTTTAGATTTTATGTAGTTACTTACGAGGTGTGACAATTAAGTAATGAGAATGATTTCCTAAAATCCGTATATTTAAAAATTATTTTACAACTCTGCCATCCCCTTCAAAATAGTCCCCATGGGCAGCTATACAACGTTTCCAGCGCGATTCCCACACTTCGCAACATTTCTGGAACGCTTCGACTGAGATGTCTGCGAGTACCCTCGTCACGGTCTTTTGGATGTCCGTAACCGACTCAAAATGGGTTTCTTTGACATTGATTTTGCTCTAGGGAACAGAAAAAAGTCACAGGATGACATATCAGGTGAATAAGGCGGCTGTGGAAACACACACAAATATTGGGAAACGCTGAGGGCGGTGTGGCACGGCGCGTTGTCGTGATAAAGGATCCAGTTGTTTACGATGTCTGGGCACACCCTGTTGACTCGTTTTCGTAATCTTTCGAGTACTTCGCGGTAGTAGACTTGATTTACGGTTTGTCCCGATGGAACAAATTCTTTATGGACAATTCCACGGCTATCAAAAATGGTCAGTCCGCACCTCGACTGGTCTCCCGCTCAGCGCCTGGTCTTCAACGCTTTATGCCTTCGAAACACCTGGGCACGACTGAGAGCACTATCACCATACACTTTTACGATTTTAGTGTACGTTTCCGAAGCTGTTTTGCCCAATCTGGCGCAAAATTTAATCGCGACGCGTTGTTCTAGATTTTTCTTCTCCATTTTCGTGACGAGCACCACCAACACCCGTCTACTAAACACGACACAGCCGGCGAACTAAACAAACTAGAGAGATGGTAAAAATATTAAGGAAAAGGAAAAGGATGTCGGGGAAGGGGAAAGGGAGTTTCAAGGTCGCAAGTTTGCCACATGCGCGGCAATAAAATCGGTCTCATTACTTAATTGTCACACATCGTATGCTTTATTGGTTATTTTGTAATATATTCGTTTACAAATATGAAGGTTTAAGGTAAATAATATTAATAAAAATAATAATTTTTCTCATAAATTACAGGTATTTTGTGACAAAATCCATGCCAAAGTCATAAGATAAGTAAAAAATAAAGACTAAAAATATAAATTTGACTCAAATTTGTACTTTCTGGGCCTGGTAATTCTCCTGCAATCTCTTTTCTTATTATGTGAAATAAAAATAAGTGTGCAGTACATAAACAAATTATTTATTTATATAAGTACATAAAAAATTACTTTTTATTTGATAGACAAACATTTTTTTTGTCAAATTTTCTTTTAAAAATTCTCAAAATCAATTTTTCTGTTCATGTATCTTATTCTTATATGTTCGTGTCCTGCTCATGCGTAGTATTACTTCAAAAGAGACCGTTGTATTGGGACATAAAATTACTGTTTTATTTGCTAAAATTTTAAAAAACCTATTTCTTTCCTATGTTTAATGAGGCTCGATGAACCTGGTAGAATTCAGTTTCCTTTTTTTGCATCTGTGTTTAAGATTGAATCTTACAGCTATTTCTCTCAAAATGAATAGAATAAATTCATACTAAAATAAAAAAATATATATACCTTTTCACAGTCTCTAAACCTATTATACTTGTGTATTATACTTACCATTGTTTAAATTAAGTTTATCCTTTCTTCATTAAGAATTTATCCACATTTTGAAAATATTTTAGATTACACTATTTTTGGATTTCGTATTATGGTTCTTTTGCAAGTCGCCACCGCGCAACCCGTCATTTTAAACAATAATTCGGTTCTTCTCTGTTGTATACAGGAAAATATAATCACTGCTAACACAAATCAAATATATTTTTAAATTATTTTACACTTCGATCAAAAATTTTCTATACTTTCATAATTTTTTTAAAGGCAAATGCTTTTTATAATAAAACTGAAGTAAATTTCTAGAATTTAAGATAACAAAGAGAATATTTATGATTATTTTAAATCTAATTTTTGCACCAACTGCAGCAAATTCTCTCATTTTTAATTAATCTTTACAAAACCCTAATATGGTTATCACACTCTCACTTAAAGCACAATTAATATCTCAAATACGGCCCTGCACATTGTTTACTATGTTGTATATTTAGTTGTGGAATGTTATATCAGATAATTTCTTCTTATAAATATCTATAA